CATCAAAAATAACTTTTTTATCAATTAATTTCCACTCAATAAAATCTACTCTATCAAAAATATTCTTTTTTTTCTAATCAATGTAAGTTATTCTAGTGACTCTTCAGCTGAAATACGATATTTTCAGTTTCAATGAACCTGACCTCCTCATGATGGGCAAAGGTTGTATTGAGAGTAATCTTCTCACTGCATTATAATATTATAGATGAATCCTCATAAATTAATGAACAAATTGAATTTGCTACAATCACTCTTCGTTGATGTCTGATTATTGCGAGCGACTTTCCTTCAGAATAATCTATATGATCTATATTGAGCCCTACCTTCTAATCGCAAAAATAATTGCTAGTTAGCATAAAACTAAATCAATTCTTCTAGTTTATGTGTGTGAGAGTAAGTCTTCTAATCTTCTATAAAAACCTTTTACATTTTTGATGTTCATGATCCCTTATAATTAAAGTATTCAGAGAAATAACTGATTTCACTAATATCTGTATAAATATGAGGATCTTATCATACTCGTAATTAGTCTATATTGTTGTTGACTTATAGGGTTGTACAATTGAAGGCTAAATAGGATTAAAGTGGCATTAATTTTTTTAGTCATATTTCTTGCAGCAAAGTTTTCAAAATTTCAACTTTCTTTCTAATTTTTCATAAGAAAGATATTTAACTATATGAATTTATCAGTTAAAATTCATTTGTACATCCTAATCATTGCATCAATTTATTATCTGAAATATATAACGAAGATGACCTAAGTTAAGGATTATTTTAATTTCAAATCAATTTTGTATATTAATATATTTTAAAGTTGATTGATTATTTAAGAAACAGAGTTATGCTCCATATCATAATATATAAAGGCAAAATAGTTATTTATTTCATATTTTTTATCAATTCTAAAATAGATGCCAGGATATCTATTTGCCTCTTCAAAATACTTAATCATAAGAAATTTTCAGATATTTACAGATATTAAGGGTTTTAATAAATCTTAGTAATTAGCCAAATAACTTAAATGAAATTACTCAATTTTTTTGACTAAACTGTTTCTTTTTAATCTAAACAAGATCAAGGATATTAAATTTTGAGATTTATTCATACCTAATATAAATTCACCTACTCATGTACAAGTAACTAACTAGTTTATCTTAGTAGTCTACATGATCAATAACAAAATTTTTATACAATTCAAAATAAATTTGATAAAAGTAGATACATATACATTGAAGCTATTGAGGTTTATACTATCTCAAATTTGAAGTAATATATAAAAACATAATTAACTTTGAGAAGGATAAATAAATTTTCTTTCAATTCTAAAGGAGGCTTTTTGAAATAAAAATAATAAATATTCATCGATTCACTATAGCAATTTTAAGTAATATTAAAATTTGTCTCTCAAAAGAAGCAAAAATTAAATAACAAATAAAGGAAATTTTTGCCATAAATTTCTAATGATGTCATTGTAATACATTAAATATATATCGATTCTCAATAGGAATTCGACTAATCACA